GCTGGTCCTTGTCTGATGTACACTCTCCAGGAATCACCTCCAGTCCTCTTCAAGACTCCTTTCCTGGTCACGGTCTGGATATAGAAACGACTGAATTCACCTAGATGACAGATAAGAAATGTAGCTTTGTAAGATACAGCCAAGACTCCCGTATGTAAATAAATAAATAAAGTAAGCGGACAGCCTTGGGACAGCCCCTTATAGGAGGTTAGAGATGTAGTTTTTGTATGTAGCTGGAACCACGACTACGTGTCTGGTGTATTTAATTTGTTGTTTGTTCTGGTCATTTGTGGACTTTTAAATGTGCTATGTCACGATATTTTAAGTCATTTTTCCAAAGTGCAAAATCACTTTTGATTGTTTCCGAAGTAATGTGTAAACAAATAATGTAACGAGGGGGCCTAATATTATAATATTATAATTTTCTTCTTTTATATTTTGTGTGGCAAATAAATAACCTAAACTAAACTAGCTAACCTTCAAATCAGTGAGGAAAAACTCAAAATAATAGTTTACTCAAGGTAGAAAAACACCAAAGCTAATGATAAACCAAACAGGAACAAGGATGGTTGAGGATGGAGAAGATTAAGAGGGATTGCGAATGGCGAACTTGAAAAAATTGGCCAATTTTTTCAAGGTGCGCCAACCGGGACTTTAAGTGACCAACCTTAAAGTGATAATTCAGCCCGATATTTCACTGTTTTCTCCTCTACTCCCGGCCTCCACGTGACGGTCACCCAAAGGGTCAGTGGCAACATAGTTAATAAAGGCAAATGGTTATGCGGAAAAAGTTCTTTGTTATATGTTTTTGTTCGCTATTTTGGGGGTTGACCGTGCACAAAACCTGACAAAATACAATAGGTGGTTACGTGTGTTCAAGCAACTAACCAATAGAAACGTTGTGATTACGTAATTCATGCATAGTGTATGAGCTCAAAACAAAAGATGTGCACGGTCATGGACCTTCCAACATAAATCTTGGCCTCTTTGTTTGCCCCTATGAAGTTTGCCGGGCTTCATAACCATTTCCCTTTATTAGCTATGGTGGCAATGACCAATTTGGTATAAAGGAATGTTTTGCCAACGGGTATGAAATTAAGCCTTTAGGGTGTAGATTTTTTGCCATTTTGGCTTGAAAGGGGCAAAGATTTAGGGGTTAGGCCAGTTAGGGTAGAAAATTCATCGTTTGGTTAGGGATTCAGGATTACACCGCACATTCCCAGCCTCTCCGTCTTCAGTAAACTGTCGATTTTTTGTAACGATTCTATGCAGCCCAAGGTGGTGCAAGACAATGTCATTTTGTTAGAAATATGTAAAATACAGATATATGTTACACGACACTAGCTCAACGATAATATTTACCTTTAGGTTTTATATCCCATCTAGCGATAAAACTCTTATTGGCATCCGTTCTATTTAATATATAATTCACTTCTCTTTGTTTCCACGCCATTTTGTTCCTGCAATTTCCAAGCAGTCCTTTCCAGTCCACACGCGATCGTTGAAGGCGGCACCAATCAGAGAGGAAACTATCACGATCACGTGGCAACTGATCACGTGGTAAATGTTCACGTGGCAACTGACCACGTGGTAACTGATCATGTTGTAACTGATCGCGTGGTAACTGATCACGTGGTAACTGATCACGCGGTAATTGATCACGTGGTAACTGATCACGTGGAAACTGGTCACGTGGTAACTGATCAAGTGTGGTCTCGAGGGAACTTGAAGGAAGTAGAAATTCACATCTGTATAATTCACGCGTAACAAATGCTGCTGAAACCAAAATACAACAGCAGAACAGCTTCTTTATTGTGGATACCATCATCTGCATTCACTGCTATGGACAAGGGAAAAGGCGGATTCTAAACAGACGAATGAAACAGCTTGCATATGCAGAATTGAAAGCGGACAGGAAGCGGTTGATAATTTTGTCTACAACTGTGATTTGATATGTGTTTTGAAATACGGATTCTATAACGTTTAGCATGCTTAAACGTGGTGGCCATAAAAGTAACTTCCGGCACAGGCGGATGACAGTGTGTGGATTTTTTAAAATTGCATCAATAATGCAATGTCACTATTTTTTTTAATTGATCACTTTTAACTTTTAACTGAAATTTCAACCTCCTTCCCAGGGTCTCTCTTCATTAGGGAAGCAGGAAAAAGAGAGATCCTGGGAAAGAGGTTGCTGAACGGATTAGTAGAAAATGAAACTGGTTTGACAATTTTCAAACCAAAAGCAAACCGTAACATATCCATATGAAAATTTGCTCATAGATTAACATCACTGCTTTGTAGAATAATAATCAGCTCATCCGGCAGTGGGGAATATTCACGTCGACCATTTTAGATTTTCATGTTGCTAAGAGAATGAAATGTTCTCAGTTGAATGTATGTTAACCCCGAATAAATTTGAACACTACTATTCAAGAAAGTTTATCAGCAACTTATAGATTCACCACAGCACGGCATTGAAGAATCCGTTGGACCGTGAGGAGGTGAAACCCCCTCTATTTGTTTGAAAGATTCGTCATTAATTTCGCCTCATTCAGTCATAGAGCGGTTTTCATTTGAGTGTCGTAAAACCAAAACCAAAACCATGATTGGTTTTGGTTTAGCATCTGATTGGTTGAGTAGGTGGCCGAGTTTTTTAAACCAATCACAGAACGTAGTAAAGCAAAACCAATTTCGGATTACTTTCGATACTCAATTGAAAATCGCTCTATTCGGTTTAAATTAGCCACGTTTTTTTGTTGTTGTTTGTTTTTTTAATGGGAGACGCCATGATAAAAAGGAGCATTTTGACTCATTCCCAACGGTTCGAATTTGGCAATACGGACCGCTAAGAAGTACTGCTCACGAATTCATTTCATATGAAACATTAAACAAAATAAAACTGTTTTGTAGTTATTATACATGTAAGTAGAAACGTTTTCCCTTCATGTCTAGATCTGGCAGACACTGATTTCGGTAAAACGTTTACGAAAGTGGCCTGATAAATGCAAGTTAAGCGCAAGTTAATGGATGCATTAATTTATCAGAAAAAATTTAAAGAGCCATTACAATAAAACCTTCTTGAACTATAGCTTGTTTGGTCCGTATTGGGAAAATATTGGTCTCTCTCTGCGTTCTTCTGTGCAGTTTTATGGCCCTCGTCTTCGGCTCGGTCAATAAACTTGCAAAAAAAAGACTATTGTGAACCTCATACTAGTTCAATAGTATCTATATGTCCACCTTTTTCAACTCTCGCTTGTTTTGTTAAAGATTTGGCACAATTTGATCATGAAGTTTAATAATTGGCTGCAGTTATTACCGAACATAAATAAGTTGAGTAGATAATACAGCAAATTGTCAACTTTTCCGAATACGTTTTGTATTGAGAGCATTCTATTTCGATCACCTCACACTGAGATAAATTATTTTCGTTCCGTACATCGAGTCTTACTGACATGTAATTTCTTAAAGAACAAAACATAACAAAAGCGCCGCCATTTAAGCCGGCGGCGACAAAGATCGGCTATTTCTCAGCAGAAGAAATACTCAGTAATCCAAACAACGAAAATAAGATAAAAAAAAGCAGTAGACACTATACAAGCTTCCTTACCTAAATGTTACTTGCATCACTATATGTTTTTTTCGATTGTCTTGATCACTGTGTTACCCAATTCAACCGTAGCGAGGTTATTTTCCAATTTTTTTAAATCATCGATAGCAAATATTCCGCATCGAATGTTGCTATGAGATCGTCCCGTTTTTGTGTGTGTGTGTGTGTATAAAATGTGTATTTAATGTCATCCATATAAAGCGGTTGCTGTAGTGAGCTATCGTCTATTTTAAACAGTGTGAATTATGGTTCTGAACTCTTTGTCTTTTTCAGTTTTGTCTCTGTTTGCATGCATATTGGGTGAATGTTTTTTTAAAAACCTTTCTCGTTGATTTCTGACGCGTCAGTTCGTATCTATGTCCAAATTGTCTGCTGTCTGATCGGACAATCACTGATAACCATAAAAAAATATGATATAGCCCAAGACTAAAAAGATGGATCAATTAAGAACACTTCGAAGGGCAAGTTTATTGGCTGAACAGTAAGGCCATCCCCATAAAATGATTTGTTTCCCATCGCCCTCTCTCTCGTGAAAGTGGCTCGGTCGATCGGTGGGTTAAAAAAAAAAGAAGAAGAAAAGCCGAGAAACGAAATATTGACAAATCGATACATAAATAATTCCAAGCGAGCCTTGATTTTATCTTCCCTGTTACCAGCCGATATCACTCGAAGACGTCATTACTGGGCTGATTTAGAGGTCAGAGTGACTTTAAAGATGTAAATAAAGCAAATTAAACTTGGAAACACGCGAGAAAAGGGCGCAGGCAATGAATCAGAAACATTTTTGTTTGTTTTACTTTTTGAAAAAATTGGGTCGGTCGGGCGATGGGAAACAACACATTTTATGAGGATGGCCTTACACTGAGATTAAAAAAAAGGTTCGTCCGTGCGGGACGCTTTAAATGTTTCCATTCAACAAACGCAAGGGTCAAGTTTTCGGTGATTTCCATTGGACCACAGCACGCGAACAGCTCGAGAACAGAAAATCCCTTGTATTGAGGACATTATTACTCTAAAATGGAGAGTATCGCGTAATAAAAATCCTTCAAGTAAAGCGCTGTATAGGAGTTTGTATGGAGCTTGAAATTCGACCGAAAATAAGTTTCACTTTTCTTTCGTAAAGTTGTAAATAATGTGAATTAGGATTCGAAAGTAGGTCGAAATTCGCCCAAAGCAGCCTCCAGAAGCCTCCCAGAAGCGATAAAAATACAGGAAAAGACAACAGGTGAGGTTTTAACACTTTAATTCACATTATTTACAACTTTTCGAAGGAAAAGTGAAAATTATTTTCGATCGAATTTCAGCTCCATACAAACTCTTATACAGCACTTTGGTGACCTGTGGTCTTACTAGCTTTATTAGAGCAGTAAGCTTAGCATATAAACATACAGTTGTCAGGATGGCCGAGCGGTCTAAGGCGCCAGACTCAAGGTTAAACACCTTCCCAGTGCACATTGGGAGCGGGCGTTCTGGTCTCCGAATGGAGGCGTGGGTTCGAATCCCACTTCTGACAGTTATTTTTTGTTTGCTTTTGTTTGTTGGCCTGTTGTTGTTGTTGTTGTTGTTGTTGTTGTTGTCGTTGTTGTTGTTGTTGCTGCTGTTCATGGAAAGTAAATTAAAGAAGGGCAGGTCAGAAGTCAATTACTGTAAAAACGATGACCAATTTATTCTCGACAGCAAAATGGAGGGCAATGGTCAGAGAATAGTTGAGAATTTTAAAATACGTTTCTGAAGAAGACCAAAAATAGATGTCATTTTTCTTTTATTGATTGCAAAAATAGCTAATTATTAATTACTGAGTGAAACTCAAGATTTTGATAGACTACTTTCAAAATAAGTATCCTTGACCGAAACCAAGCACATAGCTAACACGTTTGAGTTTTTATTATATTTCCATCAGAGATGTTCGTGCAATCGTCGGATGATTCCGGATATTTCTCGGCTTATTAAGCTACAGTGGTGGGCATATTGTATGTTCAACTGAAACTCAACGTTTTACGGCGGAGCACGATTTCCGTAAATCGTGACCACAATATTATAACGGGTAGGGAAACACAATTATGACACAGTGTCTTTCTTTTTCAGATTTTCATCTCGATCCTAGCCCAAGTTGAAGTCGTAAGGTTTAAATTTCTTTCTAAAAGTGGCGGCCATCTTCTTTTCCTCATCCTCGGAAACTTTACAATCTTTCCAGTTCACTCTGTCGGGCAAGTTGAGAAGAGAGGAACTGGCGACAACTTCCCTGAACAAGAAAAAAAAAACCATTGCATTAAATATATATTATCCTATGTTTAAGAATTGGTCCAGGCTTAGGGCGCGTTGTGGGGTTGAGTTATGTATGGATGTATTCGTGAAGCAGCTGGATTCTTCCCAACTAGCAAGGCTTGGAATTTACGCTCGTAAACTTGCAAAACGCGAGTGGTTTTTGTAGTTTGCGAGCCAAAATAAATTCCACAAGCAAATATTTGCGAGTAAACATTTCTCCATTACAATTATATGTGAAAACGTAACGATACGTTGACTGGAACAGGCTTCAGTTACCTTCCAAATTGTAGAGGCATCTTTTGTGATACTCTGTGAAGCAATCTCTCTTCGTTATCAAATTCCACAACAAAATAAGGCGCTCCAATTGGTACAACCTGTCAACAACAACAACAAACACTCACATGTGAAGATAGATACAAGCTAAGGGGGTTGTTGTTGTTGTTCTTTATGTTGCTGCCGTTCAGTGTTGTTGTTGTTGTTGTTACCGTTGTTGTTGTTGTTGTTGTTGTTGTTGTCGTCGTTGTTGTTGTCGTTGAGAGCTTGAGCACAGAGTTTTTGGGCCACGGACGCAAAAAGAAGTTGAAATTTTATCTTCGTATTACCGTTTCTTCGTCCGTAACGTTAAGTTGTAAATGCTAAAAGAGGGCTTTCCAACTCATTAGTGAGGGTGAACGCGCGCCAAAAACAATAGCATTCAAAAACCTGAACACAAAGGACATACAAACACAGACAAAAAGCTAAATTCAAATGACTGGAGAGTGAAACAGACAGGCAGACAGACAGACAGACAGAGACAGACAGACAGACAGACAGACAGACAGACAGACAGACAGACAGACAGACAGACAGACAGACAGACAGACAGACAGACAGACAGACAGACAGACAGACAGACAGACAGACAGACAGACAGCAGTCAGTTAGTTTAGATGGGTGTCACCTGTTTAAGCTCTGTGTTGGCTGCCACGTCTCTCATCGCCAAAGAATTGAAATCTCCGTGTTCCCTAAATATATCTTTCAGTTCTTCCACATCTGTGCGAGGTACTGGTATCACCTATAAACAATAGATTAACACTGCTAATGTTACAGTTGTCAGGATGGCCGAGCGGTCTAAGGCGCCAGACTCAAGGTTAAACACCTTCCCAGTATGCAATGGGAGCGGGCGTTCTGGTCTCCGAATGGAGGCGTGGGTTCGAATCCCACTTCTGACAATATTTTTATTTATTTTCTATTTTTATTTTTTTCAGTTTATTAACTGGTATATCGTCTTCGTGTTCCACCAAATTCTCAGAACTCAGTGGATAAACAGATAGGTACGGTAACCAGAAAGGAAAATTGCTGTTTTGAGCATTGTGAAAGCTTGAAACCTGGTAACTTTTTTGTTTTTTGTTTTTTGTTTGTTTGTAAAACCTGGTAACTCCTAAAAAAAAAATCTGAGACATGTTTAACAAGATGCGTATATTGTCTTATTGGCCATTCCATTACAGTTGATATTCTACCAAATTGGTTTATTTCGCGTGTTTCATTCAAGCTAACTGGATCCGCGAATGATTTAGTTTTAGTTCTCTGGCAGCTGTTCAGCTGTAACCATACAAGGTAGTCTTTACCTGTAGTTGAAGGTGTTGCGTGTAAAAGTTCCTCTCGAAAATAACACAGGATTTCCCATCGCTGTGGAATAATTTGCGAAGGGCTTTCTTGTATCTGCTTCAAAGTTAAAGAATGAAGAGAGAATGAAGAAAGACCAGGCACAGTGGGGGGAGGGGGGGGGGGGGGGGGGGGACTAGAAGTATTGCTACTCCACAACAACAACAAACTTTATTTTACCCCAGAGCCTACAATAAGTATTTACAATTATGAAAAAAAAAATAGGGGTACTGGCTACCCGATATAACCTTAAAGTTAAAAATGCCAGGCAGCCAGCCTGCGGAATCCGGGATAAGCTCCGGCAGTGTGGGCCACATTGACCAGAGGGCGGCTCTATCTTTTTATGTCTACACGCTATTTATATACAAAGGATATTTTTCAATTTCCATGAGAACTTCCTGTGGAAACAACAAAACTGTGCAATAAATTTGCAAACCTTAAAAAGCTATGAAATGATCTTGGAACAACAACTAAACAAAATGATTGTAGCATAGGCAACGAAACAAGATCTGCTTATCAATGTATTTTGTAGTTGTCGATTTCTACGGCCCGGTACAAATACTTTATACAGTTTTACAAGCATGATTTTTACATATATGAAGATCAAAATAAAAATGTAGCTGAAACTGAAACTGATTTCATTGTCTGAAGTATTTCCTTACCTCTGTCAATTTGACTGTTGACTCGAAATGAGCGATGGGACATATCAACACGTGATCAGGAACCAGACCTCCTTTGGCCAAGGCCACGTAAGACTAGTTAGTCACATGACAAAGACGAACAAGAACACAAAATAAAAAGTTAGTGAAAGTGTATTTGTAAATATTTATTTCCTGAGGGTTTTTTAAAATGCAACAGCCATGAAGCCATGGCCATTATTACAAGTAACAAACAAACTACATTCATGTCGAAGAAACGGCCTCAAAATACAAATAAGTCTTCAATTTATCTTAATTACACGATTAATATACAGCTATAAACGTGTGAGTTCTCTGAGAATGCTGCACGCTATTTGGCTTATTTCATTTTTCCGTTTTTTATATGACAACGTCATTGCAATTAGGTGTATATACAGAAAGGTAAAACAAATTATATCCAAGCTCGTGATATCGGGGTGCAATTTCAGTCAAAAGGAATATATTAAATGGAGGAAAATGATTGACAGTTGATTGACAGCAATGTACTCACGTCATCTCCTACACTGACCACCAAATGTTTCTCGACCTCAGGACTCCCCAGACAAAACCAACAGGAACCTTTCAAGGGAGCTGGGGAGACAGAAGTGAAATACAATGTTACAAATGTTTGACAATTTTGAATACAGCGTGACTCCGTCTAGCCTGATTCAGAAACTGTCGCTGACGCTCACACTCCCCCATAGTACAACATCACGACACACAATGTCTAATTTAAACGCGTTTTCCTTCTGGGGAACATACTCTGTGGACCAAAGGGAAGTTTCTAAGTGCATTCTTCAAATAATTATTCCTAATAACTATAAGCACTGGACTGTTTCTTACGTGGTCCTTTACGTTGTCTTGGCTGTTTATTTGCAGCACCATCTTCACCACCTACATGGATAGGACACAAAACATTTTTGGCAGGTGAAGTATTGAAACTGAAAGTATGAACTGAATACAATGCATACAAAGGAACGTAATTCACAAATGACGGCCGTTTCTATGAACTAACTTTATTTAACTTCAATTCTTTAGTGCATTAAAGTAGGTAATGTATCACTAATTATTGATTATTATTTTTATACCATGGTCCCTATGTCGTTTGTTTCCAGGTCCCGTATTGTTCATGTCAAAAAAGAAGTTCTGACCTGAAGCTGTGGCCTGCAAGAAACGGAAAAAAAAAATCACGGTCATCCATACTAATAATCATAAATGCAATAATTCCATTATCTGCAAAAGGTTTTTTTTTTCCAAGACTTTTTGATGGGGAGGGGGAGGGAAGACGGAGAAGTGAGGGGAAGGGAGGGGAAGGGAGGAGGAGGGAAGAGAAGTGAGGGGGAGGAAGGGGGATGGGGAAGCATGGGCTAATATCTTTGGGCTATATCTTGATTTAGCACCTTTTTTTTAATGCATGATGGCAGCACCTTTGCCAAGTATAAATGTAAATGTAAATGGAGAAAATATTTGGGAAATGGTCAGAAACGTTCGCGTGAGCTGGTCCAATGTCTTACAGTTAACAGTACATGTACGCACATCAACAAGTAAAATAAATTAAAATAAACATGATTTTATATATTTCATTTACATGTAAGTGTCGGGGTATTTATAGCAATGCTGTGCTAACTGAGGCCACTGGAGGGGGCCCTCTAGGCTGACTAGTAATGGCTACTAATACATAGAGCGGCCGAGGAGTTGAACTCGCGACTACCGTCCAAGAACAACTCCAGCTAGTGGTGATTTCAAATCCAGCGCCCTAAACCACTCAGCCATTCTGCCACACTAATGGCTTTAATTAGCTGGTTCAGGACCAAGGCCAGCTATCTCTCTCTGAGAACATGGCAAGTGGACACTCATACTGTACTAATGAACTAAAGGGAAAGAGGAACTGCTGATTGATTCAAGTGCTCACCTGTTGCTGTATGTC